AAAACTGTAGCAAAAATGGTTTAAAATACTGAGAGAAAAATATAAGGAGAAAGAAAGCACTTTCTAAAAATGAGAGAAATTGAGTACAGTAAATTGAATGGGTAGTAAAGGATTGGGCACAGGGGTGACCTAGCAAAGAATATTCAGTGATGGCTAAAATAGTTTTTTTTCAGTTCTTGAATGGCAAAACAAAAGTAAAAGATGAATTAAGATAATAAAATGGACATTTCTTTAAATATAGAATTGTCAAATCTTTTACTTGTGTTATATAAGCAAAGTATTTGGAAGGTTCAATTGTGTGTTTTCTGCATCTTGACATGCAGCTTTGAACTCGTGATCACACGCAGGGGTGGACAAAGAGGAATGGATAGACCCACACATGTCCAACACGTCACGGGCACCACAGCCCTGCTCTGGAGGTTCAGCACCGTTTGGAGGAGATGCGCGTCCTTCACCAACAGCAGTGCATAATACTGCATAATACCTTCATCTCAACACACACTGCTGCATTGGAACAAGATTGTTTGGACCCACCAATCTACCAATGCCATTGAATAGTCTGTTTCACTTTAGAATCACTTCCAAATTCCACTCTGCCTAAACCCAACATACCCAACAGATGACGGATGTCTCTATGCAAGACGTCGACAATGAAGTATTAAGCACAGGCTCTCCTCAAGCTCTAAATTCAGCTGTACAGATCCATTTTTAACCCTGACAGATGACTGTCACCACACCCAGAGTACAGAAACGTGATTAGATGTTCATGACTTATACACCTAAAACTGTCCTTGAGTTTACATGACCATGATAATGTGAGTTTCCTTGAGTTTCCACTGGAATTTCTGTGTCATTATTATCTGTTTTTTTATTAGGGCATGAGCAATGTCCTGAATTAATAGGAAAAAATTATTTCCTTTACTCACACTGATTGTGGATTAATTGCAACTGTGTACGTGATTAGTTCTAAAACTGTTGCAAAGGGTAACAGTGCTTAGGAACATTTCACAGTTACAAACAACACAAGCAGTGTCTCCTCCGTGTTTCCTCAAATAGAAAAAATCAGCAATATTTATTTTGTGTATTAACCCTCCACCCTTCCCCCATCACCCAAGTAAATGTTTTGTCAGGAAGAGGTGCCCTTCAGCAGGTTTATATTAAACGATTTTTCAGTGAAGTCACAAGTCACACAAAATAAGGTGAATTGTGTTTTTAGATTAGAGCTTGTATAAAGTGAAATCATGACCAGCAGAGGTAAAATAGGGAACTACTGGCTTGGAGAGGCTTTTCATCCTTACCACACGGATCTTTTCCCTGAAACGGTCTTCCTGTTTCACCAATGTAAATGACAGAGAAAAAGCAGTGAATGAGATTACTGGATGCATAATCTGGATAATGTTCTCTGGGTGATTTTAAAATGGCCTAAGGGTCCATGTGTGCAAGAGGCTAAATATATACTGTACTGTATGTGCGGGTAATGCAATCTCCTCTACAGGAAAAGATGTGTCCTGGATTGTAGCTGTAGGTGGTTAAGAGAGCTGTGGACAAGAAGGTTATAAAAGTCCCTGATATAGTCTAATTTGTGTTGATACAAAAGCTGAATGGGATGTGAGGGCTTTGCAATTATTTTAGAAAACTAAACAAAATTTTCAAGTTTGATGCATACCCAACACTAGTCAGAAGTGCAAAACACAAAAAACAAAACAAAAAAAAGTACACAAACCAAAAAAAAAATTAAAATGAAAACTGAATTCTGGGCCAACTTAATACCCTCTGTATCAATGATGTTGGGAAGGGCATGCTGTGGAATGGCCAGGAGAGCAAAAAAGAGCCTATGCGTAGCGGCAAAATGGGGGTTAGCCCGGGCTCAGGAGGTCAGACGTTGTCGGGTAGAAATCAATGCCCTCAGGCTGCAGAGGAGATGATCTGGTGCTAGGTGAGTTTCAAGACATCCAAACCCTCAATGCTGAGCGAGGAGGAAAGGGTGACCCGGAAATATATAGCCCCATACAAAGTCACATCGGAAGGACAAGCAAGGCACAGAGAAACTAGGGAAGGACAGAGTAGGAGCGCCCTCTAGCTGTAGAGCGCTTGACAGAACATCCCCCCTACCCCCCTACACGGGCGGCTCCTGACGCCCAAATTCAAATGAGCTGCACAGAACTGGGGGGAGGAAAAACCTCATTTAACTGAAGGGAAACTTCCTGGAGTCAACACTGAGAGCTACCCCCTTCTCCATGGTAAAAACCTTTATTGAGTAGAGGAATGGGGGGACGGGCAAGGCGTGACAAAAAAACAGACAAAATATGTAAAAAAGCATACAGAACAAAATATAAAACATAGGCACCAAGAATCCAGGGAAACAGGGTTCAGGGAGACCAGGAAACACAGAAACCAGGTAGTGGGAAAACCAAACACCAAGAGTAAAAAAAAGTAACAACAAAAAATTAGAACAACACCCCACACAGGGCAAAAAATAAGTTTAACATTCCGTCACGGATGCCAGGAGTGACTTCCCATGGAAAGCCAGGTATTTGTATGCAGATGTCAGGAAGGCATACCGCTGAATGACCCGCTCACAGGCACAGATGTCGGAGGTAGCATCCCGCGATTAGAATAGGAGAACTGAAAAAAAAAGGCCCAAATTGATGCGGGAAAACAAAAAGCGCCGCTCGCGGGTTCAAAGTATGGCTTAGCATTCTGTCACAGATGTCGGGAAGGGCATGCCATGGAATGGCCAGAAGAGCAAAAAAGACCCTATGCGTAGCAGCAAAACGAGGGTTAGCACTGGCTCAGGAGGTCAGACTATGTGAGCCCGTGGGTAGAAACCAATGCCCTCAGGCCGCGGAGGAGACAACCTGGTGCTAGGCGGGACAAGACAGCCGATCCTTTAATGCTGAGCGAGGAGGAAAGGGTGACCCAGAAATATATAGCCCCACACAAAGACACACCAGAAGGACAAGCAAAGCACAGGGAAACTAAGAACAGGACAGAGTAGGATTATCCTCTAGCTGTAGACGGCGTGACACTCAGCCCCAAATACGTTGTATCTAACCTCTCAGGACTGAGGAGTATTGGTGAATTCCATTAACAAATTCATCAAAGGAGAAAACAATGTTTATAATTCCCACAGGGCTCTATCATTACACAGGCTTCCCTTTCAGTTTGCATGGAGCACCTGCTTAGTTCCAGAGACTTACAGATAAAATTCTGAGACGCACCGTTCTTGTGCCTCCGCTTACCTGTATGATGTCAAATCTTTAGTGAAGACTGGGAAACACAGATGCAACACTGCCTGGGTTTATTGGACAGAGTTGTGGGCAACAGGCTCAATTGCATAGCATACATCAAATATCAAATATCTGGGATATATGGTACTTTGATATTAAAAATCAGGCTCATTCAAATACTTCACCTAATGTAGTACAGTGAAACCTGGAGGGTGAGGTGGATTTTGTTGGTTTGACATGCTGTGTCAAGACTCCAAATCAAAAGTGTCAGATTTTTCCAAATGGTTCCTGTTGTACGTGGATTTATCCAAGACAGGTGTCTGTGTTAAGCAGAAGAAAAAGCAGTGCCATTTGTGAGCCTAAACTTACTGTAATTAACGAATAACAAGAGGATATCTACCCCATGGTTGAAAGAGAGAGAGAGCTTATCATTCCAAAGGACTCTGAAGGCCCTAAAATATTACTTACTTAGTTGTGAGTTCATTTAATTACAGATCATTCCCCTCTGACCTGGATGAGGTTAAATAAAGAAATGTATGTTTGAGCAACTACATGGTTTCTGGATGAGCAGCTGCTCCAGTCTACAGTCAAACACCAAGCAGGGTCTCAGTATAGTAGTGCTGCTGCCTCGGTCACCTTGCCTTATTGCCTTGCTGTGGCTTTAGCTGCATCCTGGGTATTCAGCTGGGTGGGGCAAACTGTAACATAGTTGTCTCTCAGAGATGTCCATGTTGGTTTAAGCTGTTAAAGGACAGCTTTGGGAAACTGTTGTGAGAGAATCAGCACAGGCATTCACACAAGGATGTAAGAGAAATATAAAACAGCTGGTTTCAGCTAATTTTCACTATACAGAAGGTATCAAGTCACATGGTTAGATCAGATCAGTCCATTTGGTTAGAGATTACCCTCATGGTGAAACTTTTTAAAAAGTTAAATTCCTCCACAGGAAAGACATGTTTCACAGCAGGTTTTTGTCCACCGTCTTCTGTACTCGTAAGATGTACCATGTGAAATTGAATTGTCTTTTCCCTTCGGTCTCCCACCCCTTCCTCCATCCTTCGGCCTTGCAGCAATCCTCATTAAGAGATGTGAGAGAAGACAGAAGAAAAGAGGAATAGAAGAAGAGAAGAGGGTTTTTTCAGCTTTGCCCTCACTTTCCTTATGATTTAATCTTATTATAACATTTTGTAACTATTTTCCATATTTATCACATTTGAAATCTTGGCATTGTAATTTGAAAGTGAAATGTGAAATGATACAGAAAGTGTAAATCTCAAAGCTGCTGCCATTAACAACCAAGGACCTTTGCTGACATTGAACAGTTTTCTTAGATTTTTTTTATACTTCTTGGCCTTGTTGTGATAAACAGTATTGAAAGCAATTATGGAAACAAAGAAACAAAGCAAAAAGTGGGTAAAATAATGCAAATTTACATTAAGAAATTAATATTAGTAATGTAAAAATCGCTACCTGCTACAGTAATATGCACAGTGAAGAGATCAAGGAAGAAAACCCACTAAAGCTGATTGTTTGTGATACAGACAGGAGTTTATATGGGGAATGGTTACAATGGAGGCTAGGAGAATCCAGTTGTGAAACCCTATTAAGTGATGATATTGTGATAATAGAAAACAATTACAGTACCTGCTCCTTTCACTGCTGTGAAATCAGACGCATGGGCCTTTTGGATAATTCTGCATTTCTTGTCAATGAAATGCAAAAAAACATATTTATTTTCTCTTATAATCTGTAAATTCTTAAAAGAAAACAGTGGTACAGTAAGCATACTTTTCAACATATTTAAAAAATAAAAAATAACACTTTTAGTGCAATAAAGACAAAAACTGTGACATTACTGTGCTTTCCTTATAGATCACAGTGCACCTTACACAAAATATATTGTACACTATAATATTTATAATCTGCACTCCAAGAAGCAGAAAAATGAATGCTAAACAATCATTTTATAAATTAATCTGCAGATACTGTATCATAGCTCAAGACACACATTAGGTAGTAAGAATTGATAACTTAATCTGCATTTTAACAGTTTTCCTGTGTTGATTGCACAGTTTTATTGTATATTTACTATTGAATTTGAGCTTCATTAAACAGATTTTTGGTACCCCAATAACAGCGTGACTTGGCTGTTATTTCTGATTTTACAAGCATTTTTTTTCGTTTTTCTTTTTACAAGCTCAACATGATTTAACAACAAACTATAGACAACTGCAATTTCAACAGCACAGCTGTTATTTTTCACTTGTATCCCTAATAATAAATATAACCATAGAATGATTTCTAGGCAGCCAGCCTCAATGTTATTTTGTCTTTTAACCCCAAAGTGACCCACAAGTTTTAGTCACAGTGAACCATGGTCTCCACAAGGCAACTAGATATTTCTAGTAACGGTATTCAGTGTAACCTTTTCTTTATCAAATCTGTGTGAGCATTGTCCTACTATTTAGAATGTAATAGAATGCACAGGCAGAGGAGATACGCATGGTTTTCAAGCTGTTTTCCTACCAGCTTGTTAGTTACACCTCCTGCATGTTCTCTCCTCTCAGTGAAGTGCTTCTGAGAATATTTGTCCTTTTATTTCTTGTCAGTTTGCATATCTAATTGCCATTTGTGTTTAGTTCATTAAAATTTCCTTTGTGTAATTAGGGTATTGCTTAAAACTATGATTCTCTTTAAGTGTAGTTATTCTTTTCAATAAATAAAATGTCACCCCATTAAGGAGGGCACAACCTCTATTTATTAATGCTTTCACTGTCGAGACGGGGACTTAATTGCATATATTTAGCGTGCACCAGCAACTGTAAGGGTACCGATACTGAAGGCACCTCCAGTAAGTTCCTACATTGAAAGTTCAGAAGGATAAAAAAAGGTAACTCATTCTCTTGAAGAAGAGAGAGCTGAAGCTTCCTGAAAAAATTATAAGAGACTGAACCTGTCTCCAGTTGGGGCTTTTAAGGCTTTTCAATTTCTAACCAAGAGTTTTGGATCGTTATGGGTAAGATGCACAAGTGCGTTCCTGTCCTCATTAATTTGGCTTCTTGCTCAGTGAAACTGTGCCCACTGGTGGACCAATGTGACACCATTGAATGTGATACATGTGCATTTGTAATCCCTAGATTTTCAAATGCACCAATTACATAATCAGCTTTCCTTTCTCACACTCCCCTTTGACCTCTGACCGCTGGGAGTCTTACATGCAATGCAAGATCTAATGATACATGGAATGGTTTATGTATTTCAGGATGAAAAGGAAGAGGTTAAATGGGACAAAATGCTTTCCAAATCCCAAATCCTGATAATTGCACAACCATAGTTGTTTTACTATATTCCTCACAGAAACATTAGTAAAAAATCACAAGTAAGAAACAAACCATAGCTTGTATATATTAATTTGCTTGCTACAACCTGCTTACTCTTAATGTGCATAACAAAGTCAAAAGGACTTATTTGATTCTTTACACAACAAACTCTATTTGTACTTCTTTTGCACAAATTCTTATGAATAGCTGTTTTTTAAATGTCTTTCACATTTATTTTTGTAGCTTAAAGCTGAGAGATCGGACTTTCAATTAAAGTCTGTAGCCTAGACACGGATTAGGATTTCAGTTCTTGGAACTGAAAGTACTGAAAGTATAAGAGCTGTGTATCTTTGCAGAGGGGGTAATGCGATAACTATTTTTCACATGGATTTGAGAAACAACAGATGGAATCTCCTTTGAGGTTTACCTATCCAATGTATATCTAGGCTTCAGCAGTTAACAGCTAATGTCCTTATTAAGGAGAAAATATGTCATAACACCAAATGTCTGCCTTAAAATCTCTTTTCTAGACAACTTTTTTAGACATTAGACATTTTCAGTGATTAAATGTTACAGCCATAAGAAACCCAAACAGTTTACTTGGTTATCATTAAGAAAGAAATTAGAAAAGCCAAAGTATAACAAATAATGAAAGATATTAATATGGAGAACATTAATGTTTTGTTTGGAGTAACGATTTAAACAAATTGACGGAGCATGAAGTGTAATAATATTTGTTTTGTCATGCAAAATACACCTAAAATTTAAGTTAGTTCGCAAATTTCTGATGAATGCACTTACGCTCTAGATAATGTCTTGTTTTGCTTAGGTTTAATACTATCTATAATAACTTAAAGGCTAGGATCATAACATTTCTCCACTTTCTGCAGTCATTTGATCTTTTGCCCTCTCTCATTTATGGAACATTCAAAAACAGGGAAGATTCAACTATGTTTATACTGCCATCAAACCAGTTCACTACAAAATACACTTTAGTGTATAGAGTTTTCCACTGATTTTTGAATACAGAGTTTGACCGATGGAATTGTTAAATATTTTCCCTTTGCCTTATCCACATTCTTAGTAACGCTGTAACTTAAATTGAACCTAGCCCAAGCAAAGCCATGTTTTGTTTCTACCATGTGACAAGAGTTCCTCATCATTGGGTTTATACAGTACACAAAGCAAAGAGCATGAACTGTCACAGGAGCCTCTACCTTGGCTGTTCCTTGTGGTAGCCACAGTTTTGAGAATCATGGAAAATTGTATATAATTCGAAGAAGGAAACTGGTGAAACAAGATTCAGTTGGCTTTTACATGAAAGCAGTGTTAACAATGGAATCAATACAGTGTTACACTGCATTGCTTCTGCATATATATATATACAGTATGTGTAAAGTATTCCATTTCTATGATGTTTGTATGATGTTCATAAGCCACCTGAAACTTGTTTTTGTTTAACCTTAACCCTGTAAATGTAATTTTACCCAGCAATACAGTGCTTTAACTCTTCAGCATTTAACATGTGCACATCTCTTAAATGTTGTAATAGAAGCAAGGCCATTGGAAAGCAATAATATTTATGCTTTTCATTTGTATAGGACAACAAGGATAATAAAACAACCTGCTATCTATAACAGGTAGTGAATCAAGTGAACTTTTATCCCATATTCCACACACTTCCTTGCAAGCCACAAAAGAACTTGGAACAATGGAACCAGACAGCGTAGAGTTTTCACTTGCATACTAAAACATCACCTTGTAACTCCATCAGTTGATTTGTCTCCGTAAAATACAAGCTGTCTCACAGATTTAAAATGTTAAAATAACATCTTCATCCAAGATGCCAAAATATATTCCATTTAAAATATTATTATTATTTTTAAACATCATTGTAGGAAAATTAATTTTGAGATTCTTGTACAAAAGACAAAATGAAGTGCTCACTTAAGTGGCTCAGAGTATTAATAAAATGTTCATGACCGTATTGATACATATGGGCATCTTACAACATAAATACAGCTAAAACAAGGCTGATGAACAAAACCATTGGGCCACTCTACATCTACATTGTTTTTTGTTGGTTTTAATCTTTGTTTAGAAAATATCTAATTAAGACTAAGATGATTTAATATTAAGATATTATTTAGATAGAAAAATAAGCAATATAAACAGTAATAAGAAAAGATGATAATCTGAACCCTCAGATATACATTTGCTACATTTGGACAAGTCCAGCTGTCTTCCATGTGGCCTCAGCAGACAATCCAGGAGTAGTTGGTTAATCTTGGTTATGACTCTGTCACCCTGTTCACATCACTGCGCAGGCTAAGCCATGTCAAGAGGAGGGGACTGTTCCTCTCTGGGGCCTTGTCAAATGGCCGTGTCCCAGAACACAGTGGTTTGAGTGGAGTAAGGAGGAGGGCTGTCTTTCTTTGTCCCGTTGTTCTTCCTCCAGCTTGGCAGAATGGGCATGCTGTCCTGCTTGCACAGCCCCTTATCTGTTTTCTGTCTGGCTTTGATCTCCTTGCAGAGACAACGCTTCTTCTCAATCATGTCCATCATGGTGTTGTCGCCATAAACCCATTGCATTTGTGTTACCTAGTAGGGAAAAAGTTTGTAGAATCACCACAGCACAAAAAAATGCTGAAGACTGTGAATGACCACAAAGAGTCACGCTGCTCCAGCAGTCCACACTAACCTACAATTTGTATTCAAATTCTGGGTGTGAACAGGAGTGTGAGGTCAGGGCTCTTTGTGTGACTGATGCAGCTTTGCTCTGTGCCTATTGAGAATGGATCACAGGCTCAGAGCCCCATACTGTAGCTCCACTGCCCAGACAGTAGCGGACTCTGCTGCGTTTGAGACTTCTACAAAATCTAAGATTCAAGAGGCTGCAATCGCTTCTTTAATATGGTCAGGGTCACTCAGCCCATTACATTTGGAAAGGCTTACATCATAATATCATAGACATCTGGAAGACTGGAAGAATGGTTCGCTGGTAACAATTTTTACCTTGGTTAAACTAAAATACTTCATACAGTCAATTCACCAAATTCCACAAAGAATATAAGTTATCTGTACATTTTGTAAAATGACTGGAGCATTTTATTTGATATCTTGAGCAGAATGGAAACATGGATCACTCTAAAAAGGCTGTGCTGAGAAAAGTAGTGATCTATGAGAAACAAATGACTAGTTAAATATATTATTATATTCAGAATCTATAAGTTAGAAAGTTAGAAAGAATCTATAAGTTAGTTATATGTTAAGAGTCAGGTGGCACAAAACAATTCACAGTATTGGAACAAATAATACTGTAGGTTTAAATCAATGCTGAAAAGAGAAGAAAGCAAACACAATATTCTACTGTGGTGCCTTCTTCGGGTGCCACACGAGTATCCAGGAGCATGCTGATGCAGCTACCCACCTGAACTAATTCACAGTATTTATGATTAAATGTATTTAGAAACCCTGTGCCCATTCTATTTATTGTGATAAACAATTTCATGAACTGCAAATGACTTTTTAAATTAGGCTATACCAAATACATTATTTGTTCTTAGAAACACATTTTAAGATATATATATATATCAGCAGTTCATCAAAGCACAGACAGGCCTCGGGGCAAAGCTCATTTTTATGCTGGCTAAACTCAAGAGGTTTGCAGTCAACAAATCCTGTAGAACAGAGAAAAACTATAGTACAATGATCTTGTGAGACAGAGCTTTGTGTTTTTATTTCTCAGATGCAGCCTACTGGTAAATTTAGCTTGCTTAGACATTAGCCAAATGTATTTTTTTGTTAAATTAGCTGAATTATTTGTTTCCATTTCGCATGGTAATGCACACAGCTAGGATTTTAGTTTTGTGTCATATTTGTTTAGTAATGCATATAGCAACTGAACTGCACCGAATTTTAATGTTTCTTGTGCAGTTACTCATCACAAAAATCTTCTGGGAGTAGACATACATTTACAACTTCAATTCCTCTGTATCAGATGATGGTGGTTATATTCAACAATCTTATATTATGTTGACCGCAGCTCCTACAGCATTGCCTATATCCTATTGTCATTCAGCATAATGTTTAAATACCAGAGATGGGAAATTGTTAACAATTGGGAATGGAATGAAGTATTGGAAATACAATAATTTTACTTGTAATACTTTGGTGTTGCGCAATGTGTGGTAATATATTATTTGCTAAATATGAAGAAGGGATACATTAGATGTGTATGTGGAATGTACTTGTGTTTGTGTATATTTATTTCCTTTAATGTTCTTTAAACAAGTTGTTTAAACAAGAGCTCTTTAGATTGAAATGGGTTTCAAAATGTACAAACCTTTTAAAAGGAAAATAAAATGAGAAAGGCCTTCTGCCATCAAAAAACCTCCCTTTCACAACATGAACCTTGGCTAGCGTAGCCTGGTTTACTGTCAATCAAATGCTTTAAAAAACCACCCCATCTGTCTTAAAAAGAACATTTGTTACATGTGGTACCCATCAGATCAATAGTTTTCTTTAGTGATTCACTTCAAAGAGAGGGGATATTGTGTCAAAGAAAGACTAATGACAATTGACTGATTTGTATGTTTCCAGAAGTGCAAATGATTATTTTTTTGTTTTACATAAAAGGCTCTTTCTCTTTTTCTCTTACTAGCTTTTCTTTCTAAAGTAAAATGTGACTGTAACCTGGGGAATTAAAAACGGAAGGTCGGATGCTCATATAAGCCTAGATAAAGTATCAGCTGGAACTAGAGATGGCACTTAATAAAGGTCAAGAGTTGGTCAGAAGGAGGTCAAAGTTCATTCCACTGAATTGCACCGATAATCATATCAATTAAACTACTGCAGATGTCACTGGAAATGCATGAGACTTATCTGTATTTTGATCTTTTCCTTAAAAACCTGTCATCTGTGTAGGCTTTAAAAACCCTTCTTCTGAAGACCATTTCTTAGTTGCATTATTTAGATTAAAAAAATGTAGGTTATGAGGATAAAAAACTTAAATTATATTATTAGTATTATAACGTTATTGTTAAAAGCTGTTGTGAGAAAATATGAAGTAGTACTTTACCTTCAGAGATCTAAATTTCTACTACTACCAGACTACCTAATTTACGTTAAGGTAATTCTAGTGCTATTGTAAATCAGACCCTTCAGAAACTATGCCATAAGCATCAAAACTTTCACATACTGTAGATTCTGCACCTGCGTAATAGCTGTAACAGTACACTTGTCACACAATTGTTAGGAATCATGCTACCTTTTTATTTGATTCTGGTCTCTGTTTGGCAATTTGTTTTGTTGGCATAAATATTTTTTTCTGTGTTAAAATAGAGGTAATCAAATATGCTAAAATGGTACGAGTATTTCACGTAAAATTATTTGTAGCTCTGTATAATAAAGATTTTCTGAATTCCATTTTATACTATATCTTTAAATAGGTCAGCTCCACCTATCTATTATACTGTATAATGTATAACTACAAAGGGTACAGTATATTATGAACTGAAATGAAACACTGCAGATATGGGACTGAAAAGCTTTTGTATTTAGTATAGGATTTACTCCAGTGACTTTACAGGACACATCATCTACATTCCACAACTACAACAGTTAGGGAAACATCTGCTTAAAATGCCCATAAAATACCATACTCTTCTCAAATGTTTCCTATCACCTCACACCTCACTCCTTAACACACATAGACCTTTAACATGACGCCTGAGCACTGAGGGCAGAGATAGCTTTGACATATTTGGTTCATGTAAGCTCAGGCAGTCCTGTGCATTGGAACAGGAAGCCAGTTTTAACCACTCTTGAAGTTGCCTTCCTTTCCCACAAGGGAGTTGTGTAGAGTTAGTTATATTTGCAGGGAGAAAAAAAGATAGAGATAGTAAATGACCAGACACACAAGAGATAGAGTGAAAAAAAAGCTTTTTGATCCTTTGCTACAATAACAGAGAAAGAGCTACAAAGGCTCAATATGAAAGAGAGTCATGATTCAGTGCCAGAAGGGATATACTGTATTCATGTTGTACTGTCCTGCAGAGAACAGTGTAATATACCATCTTTAAATACAGTTAGTCGTGTTCACTACGGACTTATGAACCAGTAAAAGAGTGTAAGACTACATGGCCATTGAAACATAAAGCTGCTCATTTTGAAGTGTGAAACGCATTCTATGCTTTTTTAGATTTACACATACACATTATTGGCATTGTTCTTTTCCAACCAAAACTTTTCCATGAAAAATTAACTTTTTCATACCATAGCGATGGGTTAGAAATGTTTTCTTGGAAAATGGCTAATAGAGAAAAAGACACCACAAAATCACAAGTCTTATTAGGGAGATTTAGATTTCCTGAATAGCAGACATTCGAATAGTACCAACAAATTGGTGGTTCCTCTCTTGTTTTGCAGGGGTTTTTCCTTTTCGGAGAATTTCTGGAGCCCACAAAATCAACCATAAATACAGTATGTTCTGCATCAGCATATTAAATCAGTAGACATCTAAAAGTCCTACATTCGAATATGGGTACACATTGGTGGATAAAAATTCACGCACTGTTGGAATTAGAATATGAGCTTCACCAAGCAGTAGTATTTTTCAAGATGTTTTACTTTCAAGTTGTTTTACCTTTTCATTAAATGGAACATAAGCTTTTCACAAGTTTGCAGTAGCTGTTTTTGATTTGGGGGAAATGTCATGAAAATCATTTAAATAAAAGATAAAAAGTAAAAAAAGAGATGAAAGTAGCTACACTATTTCTTAACATAGAAATTGATTAAGTATAAACTTTGAGCTGTCTGCTCAATAAAGCCCTGAAGCACTGTACTATTAAACTTTAATTGTTTATACTATTTAATACTCCATTTAATCCACCCTATTGCCTTTTTTAATTCATCTCTACTGCCATTTGATTGCCATGCCACATTCTGTAGACCACATTTGATTGTTAAAGAATATGAATGTGTAGCCCTTAGCTTGCTGATGCCTTGTCTCCAAGTGACACCAGTCTTGTGACACCATGCACAGAAACAAACCTGTCTCCCACAATGCAGGATAAATCAGTGTGATCTCTGCCTCGAGATTAATAAAGACAATAAATAAGAATGTTAATAATACATAATAAAAGTAAACTATTATATATTTTTTTTTAGTTCTCCATTTTTACTGTACTGTATGTGTTTTGAACAGCACCAGAATGAAATGGTTGTTCCTGAGGGCTGGGGCTAAGATATTGTCCTGAAAGCAACTTGTGGTTAAGGTTTGTATCTTAAGGTTTATGATACTTACTTTGTCATCAGAAGATTCCCCTTGGATAAATACAAGAAACCTTCTATAACCATAAAAGTTGAAAACAACTGGCTCATCTGGGAATTTGGGACATGAAGATACTTTTGAATATAGTTTAGTATATTAAAATTGTATAGTTTGAAGTTACAGAGTGTATCATTTAATTTGTTTTTTAGAGGCACAGTTAGTTTTCATTTGTCAATAATCAAACAGGTTTTTAACACATGTGGTAAGGAATTGTTTTCTAATAATAATTTTCCTAATAAGGCTCCTCTGTTTTTTTATGGTTGTATCTGTTGTTGTAAGAAGTGATTTTTGAATCTTTTTGTTTTTCCATTTTCATAAACACTATTACACAATGTTCCATATTGTTTGTCTAAGAAACAATCTCTTTTTAATGTGTGCTTCTTTTGTACTTTCAGTGTGAATTGTGCCAGGATTGTTGTTTAGCAAGCATTCATAAAATAAAACCTAATTAATAGGCACAGACAAAAAAAGAACATTGTGAGTACAGTTCTTCCAAGCACAATTAGATTACATTTACCAATAACATGATGAATGTTCTCACTGAGATGTCAGAGATTCTAACAATTGACTGTGATTGGACCAGGGAAGACTATGGCTAGGTCTCAAAAAATGGATTGAAAGAGGAGGAATCCTGAAATGAAAAGCCATTGGCTGTCTAAAAAAAAAACAACAGAATCATAGCCAGAAGAGAAACTTGCTTTGCTGTGTTTGTAATGTATCTGCTTGATACAGTGCTGTCTATTTCAGTAAAGCTGACTTTCCTGTCAAACACAACTAGTGTTTGCTTATAACTATACAGTTTATAAGAATAACTGAGAACCTCAACCTGGAGACATCTATAATTAAATAGTTCACAGGAGCTTCTACAATGCATTCAAATCCAATAAATATGGACTTTAAAACTGATCTGTCAAGATGTTCTTGAAGGTGCTCTTACATTTTAGGTTCCGATGTGAATGTTGTCATCATCAATATTTTATGTCATATCAGACCCCTTAAGAAACCTTTACTAGCCATCACTTGTTTGTTTGGATCATAAAGATCCAGCTCTAGTAAATGAAGCTAGTCATGCATATGTGAATGAGCTACTGGATGAATTCTCTTTTCACAGCAAGTTTGAACCAAATTGTCAAAGCTGGGAGAAGATTCCCCTCTAGTGGTGAATCCATGTACTTTTCAAAAGACACATATTGGAGCAGATGTCAAAACCCTTTAAAATCCATTGTAGCCCAATCTTTCTTTGTAGTAGAATGAAGAAACCTTTAAAAAGATTGTCAAAGGCCACCGCCAACAACAAAGAAACACATTCTTTCTTTCTGAAATGCTCAATTTCAGATTTCGCTTTCTTCGAAAGTTAATCAAATATGTTCTACTTAGCGACAGAAAATTCTAAAAGTACTGTAGTTTGTGCGTGATAAAGTTCAAAGCACCAAAAATGGATGATTTCTACTATCAATGAATATCATATTGATGTTTGTTCAGTAGTCTGCTGTTTTGCAAATCTGTATGAAATGTTTGATATAAAGAAATATCCTGTAGATGCTGTACACTGGATGCAGATACTAAGTGGATATTAAGTGGGGTGAATTCAAGTAGTCTTTTGAACATTGAATAATTATGTACTACATATAGTCTCTATATTGATCAATGAAAAGTAAATTTGTGTTTTTCCTGATTGAGTAGGGGATTACTAACTTTGTTTCAAGGTGTGTTCAGGAATAACATTCATTTGTCTTTGTAGTTAAATTGTTGGTTGGCCCCAGAGCAAGACCGTTGTAACACATTTAAACAACAATACCATAACTGAACTGAAAACACAGACACCAGACACAGACAAGAACGACATCACCAGGAAAGGGTAAAAACATCATGGTTTGAACAAAGTTTTATTTTCGGCTTTTGTAAGTAAACTGTTTTTATTGTGAACAGTTACAGTTTAAAAGAAATGGTATTTGCATCATTTAAGTGAAAAATACTGTAAAGTGTTTTTCTTTTTGTTCAGACTATTTAATAGTCAAGGCCAAAGTGTCCTTTCACTATGTATGATGGGGTGAAGAATAATGCAATATTCTCTACTTTAGAGATGTGAAAATTACAGAATGTTGGCCATGTTTGTGACACCATACAGAAAGTCACAGCTTAGCACAACCATGTGCCAACTGGCTCAAATAACTGGGCTGATTATATAAGCATAATGTCTATGTTTACAACGTAATGTACAGTTTACACTTTGAAAGATATATACACATCAAGAAAAGAGGAAAGAATGTGCAGGTACATAAATATTTCAGGACGTAATAGAGAAAAAGTGATTTGCTCACTAATAAGTTAGATAAAGGAGCAAATTAATGTTTTAATGTATATTTAAATTAAATCTTTTCATTTTTATATTCACAAGCCCCCACCAAGAAAATGAAAGGTTTAGAAGGATATCGAACTTTCTTTGAAAATGATGAAACAGAATATAGGATCTGATAAAGAAGTGTACATTTGGGTATGGTGAACACAGGGCTTTTGGGTTAAATTGAAAGACGTCCCTTAAACTGAAAGATGATGATTTATTAATGTATACATTTTCTGTGCCTTTGCCAAGATGGAAATAGGTGAAACTATTCCTGCTGACAATCAGCAGTGAACAGCTTCACAGTGTTTTGGTTTTGTTTACATTGTAAAATATTACATAATACACAGGCATTAAGCACTTATTTTCATCTCAGCAAACTGGTAATGCTAAAAATTCACATTAACGTGTTCCAATCTAAGGGCATCTTTACAATCATGTCCCATCTCAATGTGTCCCAGTGAACAAGGAGTCGCATGGTCACAATACATTTATAGGCATTTCTTGTGTGCCTGATGTTTATTGTTTTGTTGACAAGGCATGACTCCGTGAAGCACACTGTCTTGTCCGTTACGGCATTGTTTTTAGACGTGCTGCCCCCTGTTGGCACATTTGATAACCATGATGTTTTGTTATGTCATCAACTGCTTTTCGTTCCCTTTGTAGAGGGAACTTTCTCTGTATCCTTACTTAACCCTTTTTTTCCCAAAAGGTTTTGTTTGTCAAATGTTACACAATGGGGAAGATACTGACAAAAAAGGAAAAAAAAACAGGCAAAGTGCAATTGAAAAACAACAAAAAAGGATTGCCGTACTGAACAACAAAAAAGGATTGCCGTACTGAGACAGACTTACAGATCAGGACACACAAAGAAAATAACAGAGTACGCGGACCTCACTGGGACAGATGGCAGACAGACAAGTGAAAGACACTGGCATGTTTCACCACACAAGTTCATTCATGACTGTCTAACGATGGTACCTGGCTCTGTTGCACTTCTCCACCTTGCCTAAGAGGGTTGACAGAGGCAGGAGGTACCCCTGACGTGGATGCAGACCGACCTAGCTTGCATACTGCTTTCGATTCTGTAAGAAGAAGCACAGGTTTAGCGCAACCAGCATTATGGCAGCACCAATTTAAGCATCATCATGAAATTGAGGCACTTTAAATAATGATAAAATAACTTATTTTACTTTTAAGTATTGGTGACATCTGCTGCATAATATTAATAAATCCTCTAACTTACTATAAGCAATTCAAAATACACTACAGCTTTCGTTTCTGATATAATGACAGTGGAGTTAGGTGGGGGATGTTATCTCTGTACAGCATGCTGCTGCAACCTTTGAAAGAGACAGGATGTTGAGTACAGACTAAATTCCTCAGTTTCACATGAATTTCATTTGGGACTTCTAAAAACTTCAAGTTGGTAACAGAGTATTGGTAAGGCTGAAGAAATTTTGGGTGACATCGCAACAGATGCTAGGTAATTGTATGGACTTGCCTGGGCATGTCTTTAAGGTGGATTACAATAAGTGTTTTTCACTTAAGTGTTTACCTGGACCTCAGGGGTCCTTACCTGAGACGCCACTCCCCAGCATCAGAGTCGGGCTGACAGATGTGCGCCCCAGTCTGTTGGACTGTGCTGCTGCTGACTGACCGGACACACCGTCCCACTCATGAGCCTTCGGTTGCTCTTTAGGGGGTGGCTGGTGACCCCCTCTTTCCTTGCTCTCATGTCTGGGAAGAGGCTCAGTGCTGTGGCTTCTGCTTTTAGCTTCACCTGCAAGAAGCACAACATTAGCACGTTCCCTTCCTGTTTCATTTTTCCAATCCTAATCGTTTCACATTAAAAACAACAATACTATATTAATTGCACAGATTCATGTCCAAAGCAATTTTTTGTCTTAAAAAACAACGTGATAGCTTTTTTATTAACATGCAAATGTTAAGAACATCCCATTTGAAACCATTAACAATTAGAGAAGGCAAATCCCCAGCATTGCCACTAGGTGCTACCCTTGAGCCTACACTGCCAGGCTCTTTTGCAGGGCTGTACTGTATTGCACTCTACACTCTTACTCACTGACATGTGTGTGGGAGTGATAGATGTATTACTTACAGTTTACTTTTTTCAAAACAGTTTACAGTTTACTTTTTTTCAAAATGAATGTTAGGCATTTTGCACCCCCAAAAAGTAACAGAGTCCTTCTTAAGATTAAAGCTTAACATGAGTGGTATCGTGGCTGGTGTTCCTCTGACTCACAGCTCTGATATCCCAGGTTCAGTTCTGGACTTCTGTGTTGATTTTGCATGTTCTCCCAGCATTCATATGGGTTTTCACATGGTTCTTTAGTTTGTTTCTGATTTTTCCCAGTACATACTGGTGAAATTGAATGGTTTCTCTCCCTTGTCACATGTGTGCCCTGCAATGGACTGATGTCCAGTTGTAGTGGCCCTTAGTAGTGGGATGAGGAACTTTCTGATAATGGATGGATAATGTTACACAATTTACATTGTATCTGTATACAGCCTAGATCACCGTGTTAAAAAATTAATATTGCTACAATTGCTATTGCTAGGAAAGCATACAGTATGAACCAAAGGGACTATGAGGGGCATTTTTACAAGAGTCTGAAATCCTAAAGGGATAAATTCCACCTTGAGCTATACTTCAGGACCAGCACAGTGAAATAAATAATAAAGCTGTTAATAAAGGTATTTAGCATTATATTAGTACGCTATGTTTTGTGTAATGATATTGGCAAGTTTACAGTAAGTTTATTTAAAAGAAGCCTTGTGCATAATGTGCATATCCTCATAACCACCTTTTCATAAACTTGTTTTCTTCTAAAACATGGGACCACAGAGAGAGATCACTTATGACTGCGAAAAGGAAGGACATGTTTATATAAAGGTTTGTACTAAAGCACACAAGAAAGGCTGCAAGTGGGCTGTCAGCCCACCTTGTTTGTTTATTAGTTTAATAGCTAAATTGATCTCCGTCTTAGTGCTGCTGTCACTAGACAGAGCCCAGAGAGTGGAGATCTGAACCACCTGGCTGATACGCCTCTTGCAGACACCCACCATGGTTAGTGTAAATAAGTATTTCTCATTCTCTGTCTTCAATGTTTTTTAGTTTCCCAGTTACAGGTCGTGCATTTTTATTTCAACACAGTACGTGAAACAGTCTCTTTCCCCTGGTTTGGTCTCATCTATACTTGTATATTGCTTCTCTTTGGCTATAACATTTTTTAGGGTACAATATCCTGTTTGTGATCAGGTCACCAAAACTAAATGTAATGTTTTAAAAGAGGTCTTACAAGTGCGTTATAAATCTAAAGCTTATTTTCCCTCTTTCACTCTTCCATCTATACACCCAAGCATTCTGTTTGCTTTTTATTGAGTCTGACTTTTGATGAGGACATATACTAATAATATACACAGACACTCAAAGACAGTGCATGCACAGCTTCCTTCACCTCCAGATCACCCAAGCCATGTACATAGTGTGTGTTCCTGCTTCCTTTGTGGATCTATTCAGACTTATCCATCCATTTTCTAACTACTCCTTCCAATTTAGGGTCGTGGGGGAGCCAGAGCCTATCCCAGCAAGCACTGGGTGCAAGCCAGGATACACCCTTAATACGACACCAGTCCATCACAAGGCACACACAGACATACACAAACATGTACACACTCGCACCAGGGCCAGTTTTTTCAGAAGTCAATTAACTCACTCAAGTTGGACTATGGGAGGAAACCATAGCACCCAGAGGAAAGCCACACAAACACAAGGAGAACATACAAACTCCACGCAGACAGCACTCCAAGGCCCACATTGAGCCCAAGGCCCCAGCACTGCAAGGCGGCAATGCTAACCACTCAGCCACCATGCCACCCTATTCATGATATCAATATTAGATTTCTATTGCCAAGCTCCCATTTGTAATCCCCTTACTACTGTTTCCATGTTTTCCACTCTGTCTATTTTTGTATCACCTGCAAATTTAGATGAGAACCTGAATCAATGATACACACCAGGAAAAGCAATGGGCCTAAAACAGATCCAGAAGGGTGAGCCAGTGCTTCCACTTGTCCTAACAGAGGTGCTGTCCCTTAAGATGCAATGTACTACTTCCTGTTTGCTAAGCAAGTCTCAACCCAAGTGTACACATTACCTTGCATTCCTAAAGCTTTTAACTTCAGATTTCAGAAGTTGTCGTGTTTACTATTATTATTTATTATCTTCTATTATTATTTTAACAATTCTGCTTGTCCTAGGCAATTCTAAAATCTCTTTTCTGCTCCTTTTTTTCTTAGAATCTGGTTGGAGGGAGGATTAAATTACACAGTAATGTTGTCGATAATAATAATAATTGCTTACACTTACTGTATATAGCGCTTTTCTGGACACTCCACTCAAAGCACTTTACAGGTAATGGGGACTCCCCTCCACCACCACCATGTCCAGCCCCACCTGGATGATGCGACGGCAGCCATAGTGCGCCAGAACGCTCACCACACATCAGCTATCAGTGGGGAGGAGAGCAGAGTAATGAAGCCAATTCATAGAGGGGGATTATTAGGAGGCCATGAGTGGTAAGGGCCAGTGGGAAATTTGGCCAGGATGCCGGGGTTACACCCCTACTCTTTTCGAGAAACGCCCTGGGATTTTTAATTACCACAGAGAGTCAGGACCTCGGTTTTACGTCTCATCCGAAGGACGGTGCCTGTTTACAGTATAGTGTCCCCGTCACTATACTGGGGCATTAGGACCCACATGGACCGCAGGGTGAGAGCCCCCCTGCAGGCCCCACTAACACCTTTTCCACCAGCAACCTTAGTTTTTCCCAGGAGGTCTCCCATCGAGGTACTAAGCAGGCTCATACCTGCTTAGCTTCAGTGGGTTGCCAGTTGTGAGTTGCAGGGTGATATGGCTGCTAATATCCAGAGATCCTGAAATCTCGATATCCTGAGATCCTTCGAGAAACACTGAATGGGATCTTGGGATCAAGAAGCCACCAGCCACCAAATGAGGATGATGGACCAAATAACATACTCTATTCTCTTTTGAAACATTTTTTATGTTCTGGTGTAACCACTGAGTTTTGAGATTTCCATACCAATGGGGAAAGAGTACAACACAATAGCTAAGCCCAGTGAAAAAAATGTAACACAATACTGTGTAGTTGTAAGTGGAGACCTGTGTCAGTGTGCAGGCCGCCAAGAAACAAGTAGAGGTTAATTCCACTTTAAGGGGTAGAAAGAAATAAATTAGAAATACTGTGTTATTTGTAGGTTTTAAAAAAGTAAATTAACATCTCTAGTATACTTAAAAGCCCTTCTTTATCTAACTGGTTCAGTCTCAATGAATGTCTGAGTCCATTAGAATTGCAAACATCAAGGTCAATCTCAACATGAAGCAAACAGGCTGACACTGAGCATTGAAATGGAAATTTGGCAAGATGCCACAGGCAATAAACACCTTATCTTAAAGGAAAGGTATTCCTTAAATCTCTAGCTGGGAAGACAACCTGACAGCATTTTATTGTATTAAACTGTTTAAAAAACATTTTGCTTGATGGCAAGGTATTCTGTCATTGATTTAATTCTGCCAGTACTTCACTAAAGTACTCCACTCTAAAGAAAATAAATAAATGCACTGGAAACTCTTAGCACCACTTAAGTGTGAGGAAAAAAAGCATAAAAACCATCTCATTTATTATACATTCGTTTCAGTAGTGTTCCCTCTTAATAGAGGGTTAATTACTTTTCTTAATTAAGTGATTTTAAATCATTGAGAAACTATTAATAAAAAGACACTTTTGCTACCATTCTTGTTGAGATCTAATTGCTCCAGGAAACACACAGAAATCATGTTGCAGAGGCTTATCTGGGTTGGAAGACTTTCACGATAGAATTCCAATTGGTGCTTTTACAGTACCTTGCCTTTGCACATTTAGTATTCACATTTCTGTGGCTGCACTATCAGTTCATAGTATACTGTAGATATCAATGACTTTATGATATCTAAATATCACACTGTTCAACTGCATATTCCATAGAAAGTATCTATGCATGGTTTATTATGACCAAATTACACTGAGCATGAGCCCATGTATCATAGACTGCTACGTTGCTAGGCTTTTTTAAATTGCTCTTAGTATTTAACACTTGGGCTACATTAAATATTGTATTCATTACGTCTTTATGGGATTGATAGGCATTAAGTCAATTGGTTTGCTAACTACCACATGCTTTTCAATTATTTTTTTCAGTCAAATATATCAGTCATAATCACCTTACAGCTTCATGCGTAACCAATCATGTTCATGAGGAATCCATGTGCTGCCACTTAAAAGACAATATCTAATCCATTCTAAGCACTTTGGCATTTAAAAATGGACAGCTAATTGTACTCTTCCTATATCATCTCGAGGTTAGTTTTGTTTTAAATGTCTCAAGCAGGAAAAGCATTCTGCTGAATCTTGCTTTTTTTCCCCTTGGTCAGCAGGTTGCTTCTTTAAAAAGAGACAGATTTTTTAAAAATTAAACAGCCTTTGCATCTTGAATATCACAGCTTCGGTTATTTAGTTTTGTTTTGAGTTCTAAAAATAATGAGTGGATGAAGATTGATTCCAGATCTTTATAACTGTCAGGACAGGGAATCATATTTTACTCAGCATCTTACAAGAGGCTTACCACATGCGGTTGAAGAAAGGAAATGTTTCAAAAATAAAAAAAAACTGGTTCTCCTTCAGATGTTACAAATGAGATAAC